GTATAAGTACAGTCACTAACAATACGTGCTGTTTGGAATGAACACTTCAAACGCTACGGCATAGCAGTAAGTACAGTCACTAACAATACGTGCTGTTTGGAATGAACACTTCAAACGCTACGGTATAGCACTAAGTACAGTCACTAACAATACGTGCTGTTTGGAATGAACACTTCAAACGCTACGGCATAGCACTACGTACAGTCACTAACAATACGTGCTGTTTGGAATGAACACTTCAGTCGGTACGACATAGCCCTAAGGACACTCGCTACTGGCGTATTAAGTACAGCAAAACTCAATTACAGTGGATATGGGAATGAATTTAGACTATTAGATAAGTGTACATGCCGAAATCTGACATTAATACGTATGAACATGATCTCAACCCAGGGCTTAAGTAGATACGGTCAGTAAATATATGGAATTCAGTGAAGTTCAATTTTCGACGTGCCCTTGATTGGCGTGAAAAAAAGCATTGCTTACGGGAAACAGCAGGGTGGATACATTCGGAACAGGGATTTAATTCCCACTCCAGTGCTATTTCTAATATTTTACATTTACAAATCTGATCAATATGCCATATAAGTGTACATATAGAAAACAGAAGCGTGTGTAGATGGTAGAGGGAATTGATATTGACAAGATAATTCAGAAATTATAAAAATAATTTGAAACGAAATTCGCTATGCACCCCTAAATAATTTTTATAATTACTGCTCACACAAATATATTACAGAAAAAAGATAATTTGCTATATTCTCTATATGTTTGCCTTTTATGTGTCTAGAATTATACCTAAAAGAAGCTGAATGAAATTACAAACTATGTAGTGTGTTCAACATTTCATGTATGAACAATAACTTTAATAAATATGATTTTACTTCATAAAAATACTGTATTTTTTTGCATAAAAACGAAAGAATTTCACAATGTCAAAACCGAGAAGTCTTTATCGCAGTGTTGTTTTCAAAACCACATCCCTAATGGTATTACACTCTAGAAAATGACCTTGTTCATGTCAGATTAAACTCAGCACATAGGGCAGAGATTATCAGTAGTAAATCATGTGTGATTTACACTCGTACATAACACACCGATTTCACATACTGATTCGAAACTTAATGAAGCTATAAAACACAAAACAAAATTTATAATCGATGAAGAGAAAAAAAACTGGACATGCTTTAGTAATAAATGAATGCCATCATTTTACATGCTATAAAACATGGAGAACAAAATTTACATTCGACGAAGTGAAAAAAACACAACTCGGCATACGCTAGAACAAATGAATGCCATCAGTTTACATGCGGTATTTAAAAATAAAAATGTAAAGAATTGTATACAATGTTTTTTTTTTTTTTTTTTTTTTTATATAGGAAAACACCTGTAATTTTTCACAGCTAATCGTGTAAGAACCGGAATAGTCCACTGCCTGGATAGATTATGATCTAGTGTGATTAGTTGTATATGTTACCTGTTAAAATCTAAGTTAATGAATTTTTATATTATACAAAAACAAATTGAATACATTTTTCAACGGGGGGGGGGGGTCGTCCGTATCCC